TAATATTTTTTATTAAAAATTGAAAAAACCATTATAATGCTCATATTAACATTTGACTAATGATATCTGAACCGATTATACGTAGCAGGGTTGGATAAATCATATGTTATGTAAGCCATATGACATCATCATCCAATACTGTCACAATGTTCCACAAAACTCCGTGCTTTATATATATTTATACATCGTACGTACGTACGCTTTTCTAAAAAAAGTCTTAAATCTTTAAAATGATAAATTTACCAAACGAATGCCTTTTTATAGTATTTAATAACTTACAGAATGACTCTAAAAGCTTATATTCATGCCTTCTTGTAAACCGTCGCTGGTGCAGAATTACTGTATTAATACTATGGAGTAAAATAGGAAACAAATTAGAGAAAAAAAAGCCCATTAATACGTGCATTTTAGCATTAAATTCAGAAGAACTGATCCCCTTTAAAATTATCCTTCCAAGTTGTTCAAAGCCTTTATTTGAATATACAAGTTATACTACATCTGTTGGCCGTTCCTTAAATAGTGGAGTTATTAATTGGCTTAGTTATAAAGGTTATGAAGAAGTTAGTGATAGATGGGAATATAACAGGGATGAATTTGTAAATGCCGTTAAATATTCTTTAATTGCGATGTTTTTACGAACAAATAAGAGATTGGAATATTTAGAAATCTTCGGGTTTGTTGATGATCATAATAAATTAATTAAAAATTTATGTGGAAATAATGCTATTACTTCATTATATCTTTATGAAAATTTGGTTGATTCCGAAGGAATTGCAGAGATTGTTTGCAAGAACACTACTATAACTTCTTTAAAACTTGGTGGTAATAAGATTGGTATTAAAGGAGTAAGAGCATTAGAAGAAGTACTTCATAAAAATACTACTTTGACTTCTTTAAATCTCGATAACGATAATATTGGTATTGAAGGAGGAAAAGCATTGGCAAATGCAGTTTGCAAAAACATCGCTTTAACTTCCTTAAGTCTTAACCGTAGTTATATTTTTAGTGAAGGAGGAAAAGCGTTTGCTGAAGCACTTTATATAAACACTACATTAACTTCTTTAAGTCTTCCTAATAATAGTATCAGTTCTGAAGGAGGAATATCACTAGCTAAGGTTCTTTGCAAGAACACTACTTTAACATGTTTAAATCTTAGCGGTAATAGTATTGGCACTGAAGGTGTAAATGCGTTAGCAAAAGCACTTCTTATAAATACAACTTTAACTTCTTTAGATCTTAGTTACGAAAATATCGGTATTGAAGGAGGAATAACAATGGCAAATACTCTTCGTAGGAACACTACTTTAACTTCTTTAAATTTTAGAAATAATTATATAGGTACAGAAGGAGGAAAAGCATTTGCAGAAGCACTTTATATAAATACTGCTTTAATATATTTAGATCTTAGCCGCAACAATATTAATATTAAAGGAGGAAAAGCACTAGCAAAGGCACTTTGCAAAAACACTACTTTAAATTCTTTAAGCCTTAATGGTAATTATATAGATACTGAAGGAGAAAGAGCTTTAGTAAATGCATTCTAAGCAAGCAATACTTTAACCTCCTTATATATTGATAGTTATGATTTTTGGTAATATTTGGTCATTTTATATTGTTTAATATCACTGCTAATTAGGCTTTTCACTACATTACGGTCATTAAACAAGTTTATTGATAAAAATATTGAATATATAAATTGTAATTTATAAGGTTTCACAATGGAAGATTTATTAGAATGTGAAATAAATCATTGTTTAATCTTTACTGTTCGGTTGGGTTATAGATTATTTGGAACAAAATGTCATATGTATTTATACGAATACAATTTGTTTTTATAATAATAAAAGATTATTTACACTTTAAAATGGTTTCATCTTATTATTAAATTATGAATTTACTCCGAGCTTATTATGAATCATTCATGAGAAGTTATAATGCTTAAATCTTGGCAATATATAAACCTTTGATTGATTAAATAAAGTAAGTTTATATTCTACTATGATTTGTTTTACTGATAAAATTCAAATTGCATAAATGAAAGTCGAAAAAAAACGAGAAGAGCAAATTTTAAATGATATTTATAAGCAGAAAGAAAATGCCGTAAAGCCCGAAGAGATTAAACATTAATTTATGAAGAGCTTATGGATATTGAAGGAGAAGGCAATATGCATATGAATCTTAAGATAGTTGTGGATATTTCTCAAATTATTGATAAATTAGAAGGTAATGAAGCAGAAGAAGTTTTTGCAAGTTTATTTGCACTTGAGATCATAAAGGTCGGTGAAAAGAAGATGGCTATTCATACATTTACCATAAAAAATATATTTTAATGGCCAAAACTTCCAAAATAGGCGAAACCTCCAAAATGGCCAGAGATTTAAATTATCTTGGATTGATTATAATGAATTCAGAAATATCCAGGAAAAGAAAGCACAGAAGAGGTATAAATATATTTTTTATGACTTTTACTAAAACGCACCTATGGTATTTTACACCATAGGTCCCGTTTCTCAAAAACGTACTAAGTAAACAGGATCGGGTCCTCTAAGTAAAATGTTCAGGACCCCCAAAAACCTCACGAGAACTGAGATCGGGCCCTTATATATTAGTTCTATATTATATTATATAAAAAAAAAATTCTTAATTTTCTAACCCTAACCCTAAATTTTGCTAGAAGCAATTATATATAGGTGCTAAAACACCATAGGTGCGTTTTATAATAATTCTTTTTTTATTATCACTATATTTCCATGTTATATAAATATATTTTTTTATTATCACTATATTTCCATGTTATATAAATATATTTCATTATGTTTTAGGCACTTGATCGTCTTGAAAAATCCAATAATATTCTCAAGCAACATAAATGCTTCAAAGCATTGTATCGAATTTTAACCTATCCAAAAAATAGCGGATGACATTAAGATTTCGAATGAGCATAAAAACTTTTTTACTGGTTGCATTTATGCATGTATTAAAATATTTGAATTGAATATAATTTGACTTAGAGTAGTAATTAAGTAAATTCTAATAAACAATTTAAATGATATAATAATAATAAATAAAATTACTACATATTACGTACCACTAGTAATTCACTTCTATTAATAAAGCTTCAATTATTTTTTCGAAATTCTCGTGATTCTGTTATTATTATGCTTAGATTGAAATTTAAAACCCGACCGTAAGATGCAGATTTCCGACAATGAAGATGTATGATTGTATCATATAAAACACTAATCTAATTAGTGATTCAGAACTCGAAACAAGTAGGCTATAAAGTTTTTTTTTAAATATAATTCTATTGGAAAATATTTAAAGTGAAATTTCAGATGTCTATAATGAAAATGTGAGATTGTATGAATACTGATGTTTTTTTTTTAATATTACTTCAGGAAATATTTAAGGAAATTTTTGCATACTAAAGGTCTAAAAATGAAAATAAGAGATTGGAAATTATGACGATTCAAAAATTGGTTTTCTGGATTTGAATAAATAAGTATTTATAACTTTTTTTCTTAATGAAATATGACCGTCGCCAAGGGAAAAAAACATCTAGCTTTCAATTTATTATTTAAGTGCTGCAAAGCAAACCTATAATCAATCATAATGATTTACTATAATTAGTTGCTTTGCCGTCAAGTAAATTAAGCGAACTAAGAGCATTCATGCCTAATTCACCATACTTTTTTTAATCCCAATTATTTCCAACCCCGTTGTATTGCTATTCACTTATAAAGTTGTGCTTAAAATATTATTAAAATATAAACTACAAGGCTGGCTAAAATGAATGAAAAAAAAAGCAAAGCTAGAAAGCGACGATCGGTAAAGATAAATGTGTCAAGTGTTTAAGTTTATTTAGTTGTATTGCATAGAAATTTAATACCAGATGTCTAACTCTTTATTCTTTTTACTTTTTAAGATATAAGGTAATACAAATTTACAATTTTGATTGGCCATCCATTCTTTGTGAACGATCTACTATTTATGATCCTGATCTCACAATAACGGACTTCGTTAACAAGTTACTCATGACATAGGTTTCCAATTTGATCTTCGTATTGTTTATATAGCGATAGCTATATTTCCAAATATGAATAAATAACGTTATTTTTGTATCACTTGATACAAAAAAGTCCAGCGTTACGCTCCGGACAATAAATTTCAATGTTAGAAATGTCAACTGCAAACTTTATCACAGTCGCACCCCCCTCTAAGTGAACGTCCTCGAGACCATAGTAAAAAAAGGCAAAATGTGCACTTAAAGAAGGCGTGTATTTAGAGGTGTTAAAATTTATAATTGTTATATTATTTGGGACCAAGAAGAGTGTGTGCTTAGAGGTGCTTTTCATATACTGTGCATTTAGGGAGTGTGCACTTAGGAGGGTGCGACTGTAATGCAGTTTATAAAAACATTAATAAATTTTGCTTTTTTTTTTGACTCAATTTCAAAAAAATCAGTTGCGTAATTCTTTAAATATGAATAATACGAAGAATAACAGAGAAAACGGATTTTTCTTGGCATTAATATTTTTAAATTACCAATATGTAACAGAATCATAAAATTTGGAAATTGTTTAGGTTATTTAAATAATGGCCAAGTTCCAAATCCGCCGAAATAATTAATTTCTGATTTCAAATAAAATTAATAATATTTGCCGCTAAGTGGTCTATGAATTTTTTTTTATATGACCCTATTAGGATAGATTTGAAAAATTTGATGAACGTGTTACACAATCGCGTGTTAATGGTTTTGTTACATAACTACAAAAACAGACAAACAAAAAAATTCCCGATATACTGTACTCCGGACAATAGATAGACGAGAAATAAAGATGGTCAATTTGCCTATTCAAGAGAAATGGAAATATTTTACCGTAAATACTTTTGTAGCATAATTTTTCAATTTTATTTTTTCTCCCTCCGCATTCTGAAGATCTTTAAGCACCTTAGAATCCACCCCTCGCCTTTCAAGTTAATTTTGACGAAAGACACTAATGAAAGGTAAAACCTTTAAACCTGGCGAACCCTATACTCATCGTCTGAATAAAATTCTTGAGGAATATCCGGACGGATCTCAAATCCTTCGCGAAATTCTTCAAAATTCTGATGACTCTAAAAGCCGCTCGCAAACATTATGTTTGATTAATCAATAGTTATTCTTTTTAAAATTTTTATTACTAATTATGTATAACTTATATATTAACTTATATTCTCGTTAAATAGGATCATAATACTTATCCAACTAATAAATTAATTGAATGGATATGATAAAAATAACTTGAAATTAAATCGATATCAAGGTCCTGCTCTTTTATCTAAAAATGATGCCATATTTAATGAACGTGACTTTCAATCATTATTAAATTTGGCAAATAGTGAAAAGCGCAATCAATACGATACGATTGGGGGTGAGTAAATTTAGTGTCGCAGTAATAGCAATACTGTATCGTACAAACAAGAAATAACGCCCAGGGGTGTTATTTTAATAATAGTTCGAATTAAGCTTAATTTAGGCCAAAATTTAAATATCACATCTCCGGGCGTTATTTCGCGCTTATACAGACGATATGTCAGTTATAATTAATCTTAATAGTGATGGGTGTGGGTTTTAATTCTATATACCATACCATATAACTGATTCACCTACATTTATTACTGGTGACCAATATGTCATTCTTGAAGTGTGTATCAAAATTTTATTCAACCTTAATTTATTTATTTTTTTTTTCTGTTAAGCTTACAATGAATTTTTAAATCTTATTTTAGCCACATAATTGGTACTTTGATGGTGGTGTTAGATATAATTTTATTACTGATAATATTGCTACAGATTATCCGAATCAATTTGCTCCATTCATTAATTCGTTTGGTATTCCACATAATAAGAAAATTAATGGCACTATTTTTCGTTATCCTCTTCGTACCTTTCAGGATGCTAATGATTCGGAAATTTCAAAGAATCAATATAATCCAAATAAAATATTAGAGATATTTGAAAAGTTTTATGAAAATGAAAGCGTCAACTGCCTTCTTTTCTTGAACTCTGTTGAAAGCATTAAATTCTTTGAGCTAAAAAAAAATGAGTCTGTTCCAAAATTACTCTATTCAATTGAGATTGTAAATGTAAAACAAGTACGCGAAAAACGCGATTTAATTGCTATAAGAATTAGTTCTTTGATGAAGGATCTCGATGAGAATAAACTTTCCAGTAATCCTATTTTGGAGTCTGACTTTTCGCCAACAAAAAGGTGATGAAACACCACGTGATATTCAATGGATTATTTTTGGTTGGCTTGGTGATTTAAACGCCGCCGCAACTCATTTTAATGACATTTTTAAGAAAAAAATAATTGATTATAAACTCATTCCAAATGTTGGAATTGCTATTCCGCTTAATGAACCTGAAACTATTGGAAGATTATTTTGCTTTCTCCCTCTTCCAATATTAATGCCTTTTCGTGCTTCCATACATGGTCATTTTGCTGTAAGTCTGTTTTTAGTATTTTCATATGTGGCTTTGGATTATATTTTTGATCCTTTTGTATTTGTACTTCAAAAGGTCAGCACAAACAGACGTACACTATGGTCCACTACTGATGCCGAAGATTTGGTATTTTAATTAAATTCGTGATGAAATTGTGACATGTTAAAAATCTTTGTTTTAATTTTGATGTAACATTCTTTTAGGCTGAGGGTACATTGGCCAAGCTCAAAGTTTCATGGAACGAATACCTTTTCAACGTTATACTTCCACAAGCTTGGGCAAAGTTTTTAGTCTACCTTCCCATCGAAATACCTGACATAAATGCCAAAGATTTCTATAGCTTTTGGCCAGTTATTAAAAAATCTGATCCTGGAGATTTTTTTAATAATCTTTTATTAAATACCATTAAAAATTTAAAGGTTTTCTGTGGTCCTCCAAAATCTTGCTTATTTGGAAATATGTCAGATATATTACCTTTAGGTCAGAAGATCTTCACATCCAATGGGCTAGGTTTCATTTGTTATCAATTGAAAATGGTTTCTTTCCAGACGAATCTGCAGATCCTATTATCTCAAAAATTATTGAAAGCATAGGATTTCCTGTAATTAATGTTGATTCTAAAATATACAATGAGTTGAAAAAATCTTGTCATAAAGACTGTTTAAATATTTGCTCTCCGCATGTTATTAGAATGTATCTTATTCAAAATAAGTTAAAATGGGAAAACTTAAAAAGAGATGATATTTTATCATTATTTGAATATGTACTAAAAGACAAAAATTATGCTGAATTAGATGGCCTTACAATGATTCCGTTATCTAATGGAACTTTTGGAACGATCTCACGACAGGAAAAACAGGAAAGCCAGAAAAAACATTATTTTGGAATTAAATCAAAATCGAAAAACCTGGATTTTTATATTGGACCCGATCCTAATAATTCCATTGGTGATAATGATGAACGAAACATCATTTGAATAAATTTATTGACAAAAATATTCCTTCTGAGTTATGGAATCTATTATACAAAGGTGCACAAGAAGGATGGGACCTCAACATTAAGATTCTGGTTCCATCCGTAGTAGCTACCATGATCAAAGATGAATTAAGTGGATATTCAGTTGAATGTGATGAGATTCCACTAGGTGACTCTTATAATTGGATTTTTAAAATTTGGTCGAATTTTAAAGAAAGAGATTATGAACTGACGGAATTTGAAGCCATTCATTTATTACCTACCAATGGTGGAACTCTTAGAAAATTAAAAACCAGTCGAAAATGTTTTTGGAATAGTGTCGATAAAAATCTTGACAATGAAGTGCAACCTCTTATTGAGAAACTTGGCATCGTTTTTGTTAATAAGAAATTTGAAAAACTTATTACTTATAATCATTCAAAGTACCGTTTACATCTCCATTTTTTTTCAAAAACAATACAGTTGACTCTCTCTAGGTGCAACAACGTGCATTTAAAGAATAAATATTGTAAAAAAAATTGCATTTATAGAGATTGAGTATACAAAATTTGAACTTAAATTAGTTGTATTTAGAGAGAGTTGACTGTCACTATAATTTAGTCGTGTTTTCTATGTTGAATTTTATTAATTTTAATAATTCTTATTATTAGGTTATCAAAATATGTAATTGGTCTTGAAAACTTAACAGAGGTTTTGACTTCCTTAAATGCAGTTGATACATTTCCAAAAAATGTTCAAATAAAACTTAAACTTCAAGAAGCGGAAATAATTATTAATTATTTACGCAACTTATCCCCTGACAAACCTGTCAATAATGACATCAAATATCTTCCAATTTTTTCCGAAGTTGGTAAAAAAGAACTTATCGCACTTGAGCCTGGTAAAAGAAATTGGTATTTGCTTCCATCTGAAGACGAAAAAAGTTATGGAAAAATCATTACACCAAATACTATAGGATTTCTTGATATATCAACACATAACAAGAGATTTCTTTTAGAGGATATTATAAAAGTTAATCGTCTAACACAACAAGAATATTGGACTAAATTTGTGATCCCATATTTAGTAAATCAAACATCAACAACCCTTGAAATTGTTATTATCAAACTTTTTGAACGGTTACAACTTCTTCTTTCTGAAAATCCAAATTTAAAATCTGATTTGGGAAATATGGCGTTTGTACCAACAAGCACGATTAATGCAAGGAAAAAATAACAAGAAATACATAATGAATTAAGAAAACCAATAGATTTATTTGATCCCGATAATCATTATATTTCGGGTTTATTTTTTGACGATGAGCGTCTAATTCCTACCAGAAATTTCTCAGAAAAGTATCGTGACATCTTTTTGACATCATTAAAATCGTTGGGAATGAAATCATGGCTTTCTTCATCTGATGTTGTTCAACGGCTAGAAGTGTTTGCCAAAAGAAGGAAGGACGAAACTAACATTAATATTGTGCATGAAAAGTCTCTGAAACTAGTTCAATATATCGATAAAAATTATGATAAACTTTTAGAGATTAATCAACAACAGCAATCAAATAAGTTGTCCACAATATTGCAAACTAAAGAATGGTTACCAACAGTTGATTTCACGGGTAAGAAACAATTTTCTAAAGCAGATGAGTGCCGAAGCATAAAGGACAAATATTTGGTCGGACTGGTAATGCCAATTGTAGAATATTCTTTTGAGAATAAATCTTTTATTAAAAAGATGCAATGGAATTATAGGCCACATGTTGATATTGTTATTGCGCAACTCAAGACTTGTTATTCCATGGAAACAATACATGAAAATACATTCAAAATATGTAAAGAAGTATACTCAGTTATGGCTGATGAGATATATTATTCTTCAAACTCGAAAAAATTTAGGGAAGAACTTAAAGATGAAAATTGGATTTTTTGTAATGGTAAATTTTATCCATCACACAAAGTCGTAATTCAGCTTGATAAAAACTTGGGCAGTAACACATCAGTAATTGTCGAACTTCACTATGCATATAAGCAATATGAAGAATTATTTAAAATAATGGGTGTTAGACAAAGAATAGGTATCCCTTATTTAATAAAAATCATAAATGAATTCAATTCTAAAATGACTCTATCAAATGATGAATTGCACAAAGTGGTATCGATCATTGAATTAATTGCAAATCGAGTTAATGAGCAAGGTGGTTCTCGTGAAAGTTTAAAGGATTTGTTGGTACCAAGTACAGATTGTCAATTAGTGAATTTATATGAGATTTACTATGATGATATGAAAACAAGGTTGGATGATGGTGAGAAAAATGGATTAAAAATGGTTCATTCTTTGATTTCTTATTATGTTGCAAAAACTCTTGGAATAAAAATGCTTGCTGGAAAATTCGTCGACTGTATGTTGATTTCTATGTTTATTATGTTTAAAATGTTTGATTATGTTCTAACTTACTCAATTACATTTCTTATTTAGCTGATTATTTACTTGGTTATGGAGAAGATTTTGAACAACGTGAACAATTGGCTGTTAGAATAAAAAACATTATTAGTGTAAATATAATGCTTATGAACTATAATTATAATACTCGTTTAATTGTGTTGCAATAAATAGTTCACAATTTAAACATATTACTCATTATTCAATTGAATCAATATTTGCTGAATTTCTACAGGTATGAAAAAGCAAATGCTTTATTATTATTTTATAATTTTTTAAATTTGTAATTTTTATAGAATGCGGATGATGCAGGAGCAAAAAAAATTTGCTTTGTCTTTGATAACAGAAGTTTTAATAGACGGAATTTTAATATGTCTAACAACAAAAATGTTGACAAACAAAATTCACTATTATCTGACGAAATGGATCAATGGCAAGGACCAGCTTTATGGATATATAATGATTCAGAATTTACCTCCCATGATTTTGAGTCTATAAAAAAACTTGGAATGGGAGGCAAGAGGGATGATAAAACAAAAATAGGTCAATATGGAATCGGATTTAATTGCGCATATCATATGACCGATTTACCTAGCTTTGTAATAAATTTTACTGTATTAAATGAGTGTTTTATAAATCTTTAAATAATAGGCTAATTTTTTTTCAATTCATTTTATCAAAGGTTAGTGGAGAGCACATAGTTTTCTTTGATCCACTACAAAAATTTTTGCCAAAAACCGGAAATCCACCTCGAAGTCCTTGCGGAACAAGAATTAATTTTATTGAAAAGAATTTCAGGAAACGATTTGAAGATCAGGCATCTTCATATATTGGGATTTTTGGCTGTGATTTTAAAAAGAAATTTAATGGAACTTTATTTAGATTGCCTCTGCGAACAAAATCAAGTAAATTATCAAGACTAACAATAAATTCAATGGATCTCAAACATGAAATTTTTGAATATATAGAAGGGAATCGTGAGATGTTATTTTTGAGAAATATTGAACAATGCAGTTTATATCAAATGAATAAACCAGATAATCTAGATTTAATTTGGGAGGCCAAGATTCAGAATATGAATGATATACGTGAACTACGCACTTCTCATTCATGTGAGACAAAACTATATCAACTCGAAATGGAAATATATAGTAAAAAAAAGCGATTCCATAAAAACAGTAAATGTTCAGAGATTTGGCAAATTTGCACTGGTGGAGATGATTGATAGACAATTCCAAGTTTGAAGATATTTCAAATGAGATTAATCGTTCAGTAAGTTATCATTTGATAATGATAATTCTATATTAATTAGATAACTAATTAACCAATTATCGTTTAAGGCGAGAGGTGGTGTTGCAGCATTATTGTCTATTGGAGATGGTAAATCATTGGAAGAACTTAAAGTTGAAAAGGTAATACAACTACAATATATTATATCATAATAATGCGTGTGATGACTTTGTTAACACTCAATATACAATATTAGGTTTCTAATATCCCATCACTCAGAGGAAAGCTTTATTCATATCTTTCACTGCCAATGTTTACATCTCTTGGTGTTCACATCAATGGAACATTTTGCCTGTCCAGTGACCGAAAGAATGTTGTTATACAAGCTGATATAACAAATGAAACTAATGTTAAAGGCAAAAAATCTCTGGTCATGTCTAGGCGTATGGCCTTTTTCAAAAACTTTTTTATGTATATAAAAAATCGTCGTGCAAGAAATAAATCAAAAAAATCAGAAAAATCTTCCATGTCTCCTACCCTAACTAAAATAACAGATTCAGATGGTGAATGGAATAGATATGTTATATTGGATGTTTTACCTCCACTACATTCCAAACTTTTCGAGCATGTAACTAATCAATTGATGTCACCATTTAATGAACAAGTTTTTTCACAATTGTGGCCAATAACTTTTTCAACTTCAAATATATTCCGAGAATATGGGTTAAATGTGCTCCGGGAATTATACACTAAAAAATATAAAGTTTTTTGGTCCGAAGCAAATGGAGGTTTTCTTACTTCGTTAGATGAAGCATATTTTGTGGCTTCAGATGATTCGACTATTGCAGACTTTCTTATATCTCGAGGAGTAAATTTAGAAATTGTCAAAATATCTGAAGATAAATTGGATCATATTAATGAGATGACTGAAAAAATGCAATTCCAATCTATCAAATCGATCACTCCAAAATTAGTTTGTTCTTTGCTTCAGGATAATCCAAAAATTCTGAATGTTGAAAGCGAAAGGTTACATGATATAGCGTTTGAGTTTTTAGAATTCATTACTCAAGATGACTATAAACAACTTAACGGTTTGCGATTAGTACCACTTTGTGATAAATCCTTAGGAACTTTTGGTTCGCAAACATATTACATTGCAGAACAAGAGTTACGAAAGCTATTTCCTAATGCATTGTCAGAGTTTGTTGCTGATCTGCCTTTGGAACTTCAAGAGATTTTTAAGGACACAGATTTTTGCAATGAGCTCCAAATTAAATCCTTAGACGCAGATTCTATTATTGATTTATTAAAATTTGTGCTAAAATGTGATAAAGAAATTTATTGGAATCCTTCCGGAAAACATTATCCAAATAAATATTGGATTGATAAAATACTGTTAATATTCGAAGATCCAGATGCCGTGTATGAACTTAGCAAGCTATCAAGATTTCCAATAATGCCAACTTGCATACCTTCTCGTAAACTTGTTTTACCCGATTTGCATAATCCTTTATTGACGTTTTCCGATCACCAAATGGTGTTAGATTTACAGACAGAAGACTGCCCGATAATTGTAATGAAATTATTAAACAATGTATCTTGCAACCAACTGCAATGAATATGATTAAATCTTTAGAGATGGCCATTAAAAAATCTTCAAGATCTCTGCAACAATTATTTGATGAAAAACTTGATCAGGATGAGATTAAAAAGTTTAGATCATTTATCAAAAATGAGTTTATTATTAGTGAAAGTAAGCATTAAAAATTACATTCCTATAATACTTTTATTTGCTTAATTTATTAATTATATTTTTTAAATATGTAGATGAAGATAAATCAATTAAATTTGTAAAGACCTTACCCATATGGCTTACTCAATCACGTAGTGCTTGTATATCCGTAAAAAGGAATATTACCTCCACTCGGTATTCCTTTTTTCAATATTAAGGAAAAAACTAATATTTTCCTTATAGAACCTGATTCAGACGAATCTAATTCAGACTTCATCACACTGCGTAGTCTAGGCGCAAAATATATAGAACCGGTGGAATATGTTAAAGAGCACCTGGATCCACAAACCGTAACATTGGATCAACAATATATTGACTTTTTAAAGGCGATCCTTTCTTTAGAAAAAGCTGATATTGAAAGTTATTTATCACCACTTAAAATTACTCCAAATTATCATTTTACAACACTTGTAAGAGTGGATACTTTATATAATATAGATGAACCTCTTTTTCGTAGAATTTTTTGGAACACCGACAAACTTTTACACACTGCTTTACAAGGGAATGCAAAATGTTTGAATGCCTTAAAAAAAATGGGATTAAAATCTGAAGCTAATTCTCTCAAAAATTCAGACAAATGATCAAATTAATTTAGTAAAATTGGATGCAAAATTCCTAATGGAATATTTATACGAACATTTGGAAAGTTTAAATTTTACAGATGATCAATGGCAAGAGTTGATATCAATCAAATTTGTGCCGGTAGACACGGATCTGGAAAGCCCATTGAAAGAAACAGCTTTTGCAACAACAGGATTTGAATCGATAAATTCTATATGCTCTCAAGAATATAAACTTATCTGTTGGACACAGTGTCCATTATTTTCAAAATCAATAGATCCACCAAACACATTTAGAATTAAATTTCCTGAATCATGCCGTCCTACAATGAGTAAGATCCTTGATAATTTAAGTTATGTCGCGATGAACATATCTCAGTCAGGAAATGAATCATGGAAATCACCAAAAGGAGTTCAAATGATTCTAGACATTTTGAAGATGACATATAAGACTTTAAATGATCAGCTTGAAAATAATGGAAATCTCGATAATAAAATAATTCACATTTAAAACCACGTACAATATTTTTAAATGGTAATGATCCTTTCATCCCTGAAGATTGGGTTGCTGGTAAAAATCTTGTGCTCGATGCACAAGAAGACATTAGGGCTGGACTACTTAAGGTCCATGATAATTTAAAAGAATTTAAATTATTATTGAAAGCAGCCGGTGCTAAGGAAATTAAAAATATTGAATTCAATGTAGAAACTCAAGACTATTCACAAAAAGAAAAGTTGATTAATGAGCTATTAGATAGCTTTGAAGAGCAGGATGATACAATGCATCATGATGTTGTGTTTCAAATTCATTACGAAAGTGGGATTGAGAAAATTAAAGCTAATCGATATGTTCTATCAGGTATCCGCTCAAAATTTTTTTCATACATATAACTGTTTCTATATTTATTACTAACTGAGCTATAAATTTAAATTTACAGCCGCCTCGAAACATTTTAAAGCATTATTCTGTGGAAGAATGAAGGAATCTGCAAAGTATCAAAAAGTGACTATTGATATATATGATATCGAACCTTTAGCATTCCGTGTTTTAATTCGTTGGTTACATGGCCAAACGCTTGAAGAAGCAATTAAAGCAGTTATTAAAGATTCAAATAGAGTCGGGGACAAAACGACCCTGAGCATGCTTCAGGAGCATACCCTGGGAGACATGCCTAAACGCTTGCCCTTTTACAAAAAGTTATATGTATTTATAAAAATTCTTCGTACAAAAAACAAATTAAAGAAATCAAAGGCGAGCATGCTCAAAAGTTTTTCAGTGCACCAAACCCTAGATTTAAAATTATGTTCTGCTGCATTCCTAGTTGATTTGCTTAAGGCCTCAGATAAATATCAAGCCGATCCACTAAAAAGTCAAGTTGAAGTAATGATTATGACAGGTTCTTATGTTAACATTAATAATGCAATCGAAATGAATGAATGGGCGAAATTACTTCATGCAACACAACTTAACAATTATTGTGATCAATATATAAAAGAGAATAAATCACTTTTAATTGAAAAAAAGGAAGATGAAATAGCCAACGCAGAGAATGAAGAAGATAAAAGAGATCAAGAAGATATGCTAATTGCTGTTTTCAATTCTTAACTTTTATAAAATTAGGCCTGTTCATATATTTATCAAAGATTTTTGTCGAAATCTCATAAAATTTAACTACTGTATTTAACGAAGTGTTACGGTTCTACCACAAAATCCCGAAAACCATTTTCCCGAAAGAACATAATATCGACTAAATTGGCCAACATTGTAACTAATGTCGGCTAACTTTTTCGGTATTAGGTCCTTTCGGGAATCTGTCTTCCGGGATTTTATGGTAAACCCAAGTGTTACTAATTGGCATGTAAATTATTATTAGTGGTTTATTATGTATTATTAATTTTTTATGGTATTATATTAATATATGATTATTTTAAAATTTTTATGAATTTATTATTTTTGCAACTTATAACATTTACAAAATAAATTAATATATATTTATTTGCAAATTGTATACTTTGCAGAAACCTTTGATTTTGCTAAATATATTTACTATATAATAAGAATATAATTAAAATATAATTAAAAT